GATTGCACACGTGTGTGCAGAATATGGTCACTTATAAAATTCTTTCATTTAGAAAATATATTTCTTTATATATATATGTATATATATATATATGTGTGTGTTATAGATATTTCTGCCTGTATTTTTATATATAACATATATTACATAGAAACATAACGAAAGTATACAGTGTATACTAATAGAAACCACTTAAAAATCTTCGCTATTGTGTAATAAATAGTAGAAGTGTTTTTTGTGAAAGTTGTGTGTTTTCGAGGAACTTTGTTTTTTTTGTGACGGAATTTAATAGAGAAATGAGTTTTGAAAAAAGTATTTTATACTAATACTTTCCCAGATATTTAGCTTCTAAAACAGCAGAGATAAGAAATAATGGGTTTAGGATAAATGTACGAATCTAGATATTTTATATCGCAAGTTACCTTGTTTCTATTACTATTTATAATAACGAAGATAATAAGTGATTCGTTTCTACATCCTGCACATACATTCTTCTCTTTATATTTATTCATGTATTTCGTAGTACTTACAAGGTCACGTCTCGAGAGCGAATTTTTGTTCTATTCAAGTCTGCGTAAATTTGTGGAGCATTAACATTAATTTTTTGAACAGTTAATACTTGTACAATTTGTTTCTTAATTAAGAGTTCTGCGATCTCCACTCGATAGAATTTTTCTATTTTGATAAAACAGAGGATCGAGGTAATTGTTTGAAAATTACTTTTCTATTTTAAGGAGATATTCTACTGCAAAACTTTGTAAAAATCTTAGGCCACGAGAGTGAGGAGAATAATAAAAAATTGATAATTAAACCTTAGTGTTACCATCTTTTTAGTCATCGACTTTTTTCTTCTATAGTCGAACACATCCTAATCAAGAATCTATTTTCATTTTTCATTTTAAATGTTTTTTTTTACTACATGTTAGAAGACGTAAAATTCTTAATTATTAAAAAATGATCAAGAAGGATGTAAAAATACGTATATAAAAATACATATTTTACAGTAAAATATCCCCTCAATGTGATTTTATGCTTTAACTTTTGGCTGGAATGTTTTGCAAACAAAATTTAAAGATGATTTCAAGTTGTTTATATTTTAATACTGTATAATTTTATGACGATTCGAATGGAAGAAAGGAATTTTGTTCTCGGGATGTTCTCTTGTCAGTCGCGTGTATGTTTGGAAATCCTTAGTAATTCGGATCGAGCGATAATTTTCGATATAAAATACAGGTTTTGTGCGATATATTCAACCGCGATAAAAATTTGCATATGGAACATTCACGAACGAACATAATTAATATTTTACAGGTAATGCTGAACATTGCTCGACACGATAGTTTTGCAATTTGCTTTTCGAATGCTTCACAATGTCCTCGATTATATCGTATATTCGTTCGAAATTCAAACAACGGTATTTATTACTAAGGATTTAATTTGCATGTAGCTTTTCTGGGTGCAAAGTATGGTAGCCATCGCGCTTTGTAGCAGATAGCTGAAAGTTTTTCGTACAAATGCAAGATTCACTTGTTATTCAGGATTCTATTAAGTAATATTCATTCCCTACTGTTGATTACACACTTTTTTACGTATATAGTACGATCGACACACATTATGACAATTGAAATATTCGTGTTCTTTCATCATGTTATGAGCAGTAATAAATTAGTATTCAACGCTAGATTTACCGAAGAGGTAAAAATTATTTGTTCCGTCATTAGTAATGATGATCATTCACATCTTATTATTTGTTACTTTTTACAAAGTATAGTTCTATGTAAGATTTATACATACTTATACGAAACTTTTGATTTCTTTAAAACTTTCAAAGTCTTTTCATAAAATTTCAGTATAGTAAAATATATTTCCATAGCTTCCATTTGACCATAAAAATATGTGACTCGTATTTGCATCCTAAACGCTCGTGGAAATGCAATTTCACAGCATAATACTTGTTCTTTTCGAAAACAAATGATTTTGATCCTTCGGTATACGCAAATTGGTGGATCTAGCGTTGAAATAGATTGCTAAACGCGACAGATGATCTTTTGAAATAAATGCCGAAGGAGGACAGTCTTGGCAGTTCTAACGACGACGAGAATGCATTTTAAACTACATTAACCCGTTTCAGTCTTCGACGTTTTCTCAAACTTCCGATTGATCTACGCAATTTATCAAAAAGTCACGGATCACCGTTTGGAAGCCTTTGATAGTTTGAAATGCACGAACTCGATCCGTAAAACCCTAAAGACTGTCGATATTAAATTTACAATTATTTCTCTTCGCGAAAACACGGAATTCAGCGCGAGGAAAGTATCACAATTTTCAGACGTACGCGTATATTATGGAACATTCATATTCTCAATACTTTGTCCAACTTTAATAACTTCACTTTCATTTAGAAACACATCAATTACATTCGTAACACAGATTTCAATATGCTCGGTGATCGCTTCATGCACAACCGAACAATAATCGCACGTGATGCACGCCACCGATCAAAAGTTTTAAAAGGATCGTTTTATTTTAGATATCATAATTTCGAAGCTTTAAAATGGTCGAAATAATTCTTTCTTCAGTTACGAAGTTGCTAGATGACAACCCTTTTCCATTTTTCATATTTGGAACCTTATTCTTCTTTCCAATTTGCAATCGTATAAATTTTCTTCGTAAATATGTAGTTATTTATAGCGAAGGAGATCTAATTCTAAAAGCGAAACGTTTATCGTATTTGTTAACATGCTTCTAACGATTAATTTATTCAATTTTTGGTCCTTAATGTCGCGAGCATCGACGATGATTTTTCGATTTGAAGATAAAGGTATTATATTAAAAATACGAAACTTTTGAGCGGCGGTGTACGTAGAAATTCGCAGGGAAATATGGAAACGAAGCTCGAATCTCGTACAAAATTCGACGAGCTCTCGAGCCAGCGATACAACCAGGGATTAAAAAGGTTCCAAAAACAATTGTTTCGAACTGTTACGAATCGATTTTGATCGAAGACGATTCAACGGAATCTTTTTTTTTTATAATTGTTACGAATACTCAAAATTCATAAATATATTGGTTTTATACCGGTTCAGAATGGTTTTTAAACAATCTATTTTCTTCTATAGACTATTCTAGTTTAAAATTGTTGATGATTTCAAAATTTTAACTTCAAATCATTTTCCTTAATTGACTTTTTGATTTTATAAAAATATATTTTTTTAATAGTTATTTGCATTTAAATATAAAGCTGTGAAAGGTCACTTGGTCAATATAGATCAAATACTTTGTTCTAAATTAAATTTGATCACTATCATATAACTCTGTTATTTTGGAAGCTATTTAGCACTATTTCTACTAAAGGTGTCGAAAAGGTTTAAAATTTTAACGCAATTCACATTGACAGTTGTTTTCATAAAATTGCAGTAGAAACAGTGGTAACATCGATACAGATAGGGTCGATACAAAACCGATATGCAGTGTGTTCTGCATTTTTCCGTACACACTTCAGCAGTGCGTTCTACAAGTAAAAATAAGACTAAAATGTTATATAACAAAAAATTCATAAATACTCCGTTAAAAAGTTATGACAAAAATATGAAATGTGATATAAACGAAGTTGAACATGATTCCATTTTAAAGTGATGGCCACCTTTGTTAAGACACTTTTGACATCGATGTACTATCGAATTTATTGTTGACTTTAGCGACATAGATTTTTGCAATTAAATCATCTCTTATACGTATTTTTGTATTGTAACCTTTCTTTTTCGTTCGTAGTACAGTGTACGACTTACCCTCATAGAGATTCAACATTACAAAAACAGTATACATATCCTAATTTACATATTTATGTTACTCAACATCGACACTACATACATATCTCGTCTTGTCTTGTATTAAACTGAGACAAACAGCGTTATCGTATCTTTCACAGTTCATATTTTTGTCATAACTTCTTAATAAAGCCATTATGGATTTTTTATTATACATGGTGTTCGGCCACCCCTGAGAACAATTGTAATGGGAGTTTCTAAAGGCCAAAATAGGACGAAAATCAAGAATATCAATTTGTTGATGGAGGCTTCGTTAAAAAGTTATTAATGTTTAAAATTCCGCCTGTACTGAATTTTTTTCTCGAAAATGCGCAGGATTTTGGGGATATGTCTATTGACCAGAAATGATTGTAATTGTTCCCCGCAAACGAAAATAATTTTTTCAGAACGATTTGAAATTTTCTTTTTTCGTCGAAAAATTGAGGCCCTGTCGATTTTTCTTAAAAATTCGTTTTTCATTTTTAGTAAATTTGATTAACGCTGTACAGAAAAGTTATTTAACACTTTTTTGCAGGTATCCATAAACTCTATTTTCCCTCAAAATTTCAATGAAGTATATCTACTATTGTAAGAGATATGGCTGTTTGAAAATTGGACCATTTTTATGGGGTTTTTCTCATTTTGAGGAGTTAAGGAATAACTTATCGAATATTTTTGGAATTTCCACGTATTCTCCACCAAAATACGCGTTGTTTGCATTTTGAAACATCAAAATCGTCCAATCCGTTCAGGAGTTATGACATTTTAAAGATACGCATGAAATTTCAGGGAAGCACTTTTGGCCTCAGATTATATTTCCGGTAAGAAATTTTTTTCTCGAAAATGTGTAGGATTTCGAGAGTTTGTGTAATGACCAAAAATGATTGTAATCGACCCCTGCAACTGAGAATAATTTTTTTAGAACGATTTGAAAAAATGTTTTTTGCCGATCAATTTGAACACCTACCCGAATTTTTTTCTCGAAAGTGGGTAGGAATTCGGGACTATGTGCATTCACCAAAAATGTTTGTAATTGACCCCCGCAACCGAAAATAATTTTTCCAGAATGATTTGAAATTTTTTAATTTAATTTTTTAATAACTTTTTAACGAAGCCTCATTCAAGAAATTGATTTTCGTGTTATTTGTCTCTGGAATCTCCCATTAAAATTTTTCCCAGGGTTGGTCGAACACCCTGTATAACATTTTAGTCTCATTTTTACTTGTAGAACGCACTGAAGCGTGTACGAAAAAATGCGGAACATCTTGTATGTTAAAATATTTTTCGCTTATAACAGTTTCGATATCGTAATTGTTTTGAAACCCTGGATGCAAGATGGACGACGCGTCGCGGACGTTGAAAGGTGGCGAACGAAGAATGAAGAAAACAGAGAAACGTTTATAGAGCAACGTGATAAAAGTAGAAAAAAAAGGTGACGCGTGAAACGAAACGATATTTGTACATGTCTAGCTTGGCGTATATCGGGTATGCGTTGCATCGTGCGCAGGTTCCGTTAAATGCATTGTCCTCTCTGTGGCCGAAGAAAGGAAGCGCAAGCTCCGCAAATCGATTACTCGAAAGCCAGTCTCGAAGCGTCTTTTTATTCCGCGCATCCGCGGAAATCTGGTAACTTAAGTCGATGTCTCTGGTCCCCGTTCTCGAGATGATACAGCAAAAATTATATTATCACATTCACGATCAATATCCAATCGTATTAATCATCAATATGCTAATATACGTATATATTAATATATAGATATATGTATTTATGTATGTGTCTAAGGTACGCGTTACTCTTCGAAGTCCGTGTCTTCGTATGCGCTCATGTTTCCGTCCACTCGATTCAAACGTCGAACGAAACGTCAAACTTTCGTCGTTAATAAATATTACAGCTTCTTTCGTAGGAATTTACCTCCTTTTTAACACTAGATTTACGGGGATCCGTTAATTATTTCTTAGCAATTTGTGTGGTATTTGATTTATGTAACGATACGAATACGTATCCTAATTAAAACAAAAACGCATTTTAGAGCCATCGTTAATGTAACGGGTTTTGATAAAAATATGTGCGATTCGTGTCTGTAAATTTAGCGTTAATAACGTTTCTCTGATATTCAGAGGAAGGAGCGGGGTTATAAAATATGGAAAGGTTTCGAGCTAGATAGAATTCACCTTTTTGAAAATCAAATTCATACAATCACAAATCTAGCTTTACTAAAAATTTGTTTTCGTATATCGTAATATTCGTATTCATGTAATAATATTCAAACAAAAAAATCAAATATTTATTTAACACTGAATGTATGTAGTGCTAGCTCACTGTTTACGAATTAAATCACGAAAGACGACAAAATGATGTTGTATCATTTGACTTTTGAGTTACCCATTTGGATTTGATTTGCAAAAAATGGTGAATCATATTTTCGACGTGTTTTCCTAAAGATATCTGTACAGGGAATTTGTTTTTATATGTTCTGGGACTCTTTTACCCCTTTTATCTCTTCCTCCATCGAACGAAAAACATAATTAATGGAATTACGGTTACTCTGTCCGTTCCGCGAGCGAATTCTCAAAAGTTTGACGAGATTCGGAGGCTCCGTGGTCCGTTTGACGTTTGAATCGCGTCGAAGAAACCGGGTTTTCCCCGCTATTGGGCAGCGATCGTAGCTATTGTTTCGTTTCGATTGCCCCCGATATCTCTTTACGGTCACTTCCCGGCGACTCCTGTCGCCGGTTCTCGTCCAAACTCACCGCGAAGAAATGGAAAATGTATTTGGCACGATGTCACGCGCGGGACGATGTGCAAACGAGGTTTCTAATACGAAATTCTATCACAGTTTTTCACACTTTTTGCGCCGCACTGATCGTTACCGTCGTCGATGCGATCACCGATCTGTTGGCGCCCGACCTCGAGATCCTTCGAACTCAAAGCGAAACGTCTTCACGGTTCGTTGCAATATTCGTTTTTTCCGGAATAAAACAGTTCTGATCGCAACGAACGCGGCCAGACTCTGGACATATTTACTAGTCGATGTCCTCGGTCGAACGCCTTCTGGCACGCGACTAATACATTGAAAATGAAACGAGGAGGATACGGAATTCGTAATTAACGATCGACTCGGATATACGAGGAAAGTCGTTTCGCGCTGTTATAGCCGGCGAGCAGAAAAAAAATCGAGACGTTTCAAGGCAACGGGCCCGTGTCACACCCGAAAAGAAGAAAAAGAAGGAAAAAAAAAAAACGAAGAGAATTCGCACGACTCGCGACCGACCCTGAAGACCATCTTTCGTTTTTTCTCTTTCTTCGTCAACCTCGCATCTCGTTGGCCTTCGAAAGATCTCCAGAGGTCGACCTTGGACGGATCATTTCGTAAAAGCCGATTGCATCTTCTTCGATAAGTCCCGAACGACCATTCCGACGATCCTCTCCCATCGGCTCGTCTCCGTTCTCTCACTCGAACGTCTTCGACGAAGTCACGATCCGTCGTTCTTTTCCCGCGAACGGTTCGAAGAAGAAGATCTGTTTACGAGTCTTGACAACGAGGATCAGTCGAGGTTCAGACGTAATTAAGGAAGCTACGGTATCCTGCGCTCTAAATCTTCATGGAGCAAACTGTTGTTGTTGGTCTCGTGCATCGACGCAGGCGACGCTTCTTCCGGTTGCTCGCCGCCGCTCAACTCTAGCTGACCCGTGCTGTCGCCGCTGCTAGAGCCGCACTCGCCGTCCACGAATCTGAAAATAAATTTACCCATGTCATGCCGTGTGCCATTTCGTAGCGATAGGAAGTGGGAAGGGTCGAGAATCGTCGTGCGTTTTAATTTTAACAAGTCTTGGACATTGGCGGTCAGCTATTGGATTGTAAAATTTCAATATTAAGGACCCTCTGTTATTTTAGAAAACTATTCGACACTACTGTCAAAGGTGTTCAACACATTGACTATCTCTAAAAAAATTAATTCTCAAGATTACGTGTTGACAAAAATAAATCTAAACTCATGAATTTTAACGAGGCTTAACAATTCGACAGATTTTGGCAGCTACTGTTTTAAAACGTTTAAAACTTTCATTGGAAATTGTCTTTCAAGTTCAGTCATATTTTTTTTATTCACTTTTCGTGGGCTTTCTTTTTTGCCAGTTTGAAAAATAAGTAATCGATTTTTTTAATTCTCTGTTGGTCAGCTATTAGATTGTAAAATTTCAACATTAAGGACACTCTGTTATTTTAAAAAGCTATTCGATACTACTGTCAAAGGTGTTTAACGCATTGACTGTCTCAAAAGAAATTAATTCTCAAGATTATGTGTTGCAGAAAGTAAATCTAGATCTAAGAACAAAATTTCGTTTTCGCGGACAATTCGATAGGTTTAGACAGTCAATGTTTTAAAAAATTGAAAACTTTCACTGGAAATTATCTTGTAAGTTTAGTTATTTATTCTTGATTCATTTTTTGTGTGCCTTCATTTTTGCCAGTTTGAAAACTTAAAGATCGGTTTTTTAAATTTGTGTAGTTCTGTATAATATACAATGGCAAGTCTAGGTCATCGTAATTACAACTATTGTAACGTCAAAACACCGAAAAGATAAAGAGTTGATATCTTCAAGCGTAATGTGTGCAACGATAATAAATATTTGAAATTTCTATGTACAAGTTGCAGACCATGGATTAACCACTGGTTGAAAGAATCGATTTAGAGGTATAGTTTAATCGAAAAAGAAATTGTTAAGGCACCTGTGTAGAGAGTCGTATCTTAGGATAATAGATGATGCTAGCAGAACTTATGAAATACTTGTTCCAAGCATCGTATCTTATAATTTATACCGTGTCCGTCTTACGACACAGACTTCTAAACATAATGAATCATAACGCATTTAATTACCGTGGCCTTGCGAGATTCGCAAAAAAGAGGTAAACATAGAAAAAGAAATATCAAGAGCTTATCTCGTGTTGCAATGTACCGTTCATAATATTTTCGCAAGCAAAGTGGGCTATTGGCTCCTGTTCAACGAGATAAATCGTATTATCAGGATTTATCGCAGTCACCGAAAAGGTTTGAAAATTACTAGCACTAATTTTAGAGCAAGATTTCGCGGTACGTAAAAGATTCGGATCTGTTTTATTGGAGACGACGGAAGACGATTAAGGCGTGAAATTTTATCGTTAAAAATTTATTTTCCAATCGATCGTTCGTTAAATCTCAACAAGTCTGTCACGTTTCTTTCGATAACGTTCAATATTTACCGACGTTGCAATTCGATTTGAAGAACCATGATGCAATTAAAAGGGACACAATGTTGCTATCTTTGCGTTATCACGCCGCGGTATCTTGTAATTTTCGTGTTAACGGTTTCCTCGCTCGACGATCGACGAGTAGTATAAAATAATATGCAAGATCGATAAACTTTGCCCGAGCAAACGGAGATCGAAGCGAAATGTTAATCAAAGTTTAGTTTATATACTTTGGAAGAGCGAAAGATAATGTTAGCCGCGAAGTATTCCGACCGTGGATAAAGCAAAGGTCACCGATAAATGTTGTCTTCACTTTCGTACGTCGATTCGATATCGTCGAACGTTAACATTAACAAATATTAATGAATAATATTTTCTTGCGATGCACTGTTGAATACTCTTGTTTAAATCTACGTAACGATTTTAATAAAACGTTTAATTCGGACTCTGTACGAACGTTCTATTATATAAACATTTGCTAATAGAATCGTGTATGCAAATTTATACAAACCGTTTATTTTCTTCCGCGGAATGAAAACTGTTCACGATAATTCAGTATGAAATCGACGCGGTACGTGGAACGGTATATCGTAATGTCGTTAAGACGGAAACTCGTGGTACTGCCAATTGAACAAAAATGTGACATAATTAAGAAACTTGAACGCGAAGAATGTGCAGCAAATTTAGGAAAAAAATGTGGCGTTGGAAAATCAACCATTACCGATATACTAACATGGAAACGTGCTGTTGAAAACTATTTACAGCAAATGCAAATAGCAGATATATCGATAAGTCGAAAGACTCTAACGGTGGAAACTAATTTGAATGTTGATGCATTCTAGTGGTTTGTGCAATACAGAAACGGAGGAATAATTGGACCACTTATATGCGAATAAACGCGGGAATTTAATGAAAAATTATGGTAAGTCCAGCGTGGTAGAAATTACAATACTTTTTCGATCAAGTTATTTTGCAAAATGTTCTATATAATAACTAATTCATTTATTTAGTATTTTAAAAATTACTTGATTTAGCTGCCAATAAAATTTGAAATTCATAGATTTCATTTGTCAATTTCTTAAAAAAAAAGAAGAGAATTCAACAGTATTATTTCTTTTAAAACGTATTCGTTTTATTTTATTTCGTCTTAAGCATTCTATACGAAGAACTAACCACTTGTAATAATTTATTTGAATTTTATTATGCGAAAATTATCTAATGGGAACACTTTTGTCTCCCAATTAGTTCACATGACAGAGGTTTTACTGTACTGTGAAATTCGAGATTCGTGGTAAATGATTCACCGTACGATGGGAATAGAAACGTTCACGTAACGAATTTAGTTGGTATGCATACCTTTCTTTGCTATTAGCAATCGCCATTTGCCGTTAGTTTTTCAATTAGAATCAATGTTACGGTTTTAGATATTTACAATCCGTGAAACAACGTCGGCGGTTCGCGATTGCACGTTTCGTTTTAAGCCTTGCGAAATTTCTGCTTTCGACCCGTATTTCGATACACTTCTGTTACTTCCGATAACGATCGAATTGATTAAACGACGCACCCGATAATATTGAAAACGAACACCTGTCCCAAGGATTTAAGATATTTAAATTCACCTTAACGATCGGGGAAATATTCCATTTTGCGCTATTCCCTATTTTAAATTAGAAACATGTACAAATGCGATGTTTTCACCGACTGCAACCTAAATTTAGGGATGAGGAGGACCTAGATAAGAATTATCTTTCAAAGAATACATGCAACATCGATTAAATATATTTCGTGATTGATAAAATTACACACAAAATAACTGTTTGACAATTTTATGTAACTGAATCTTTTTATCTGTCTTTGGAACAGGGAAACTTGCATCGTGATATGATATTTTAAATATCATACTATTATATTATAAATGATGTATTTCAATTTAAATACTCACCCTTTCTCGCTAATTACATTTTAAAGTTTCGTATTTAACTCAGACAGAAACGACGCTGTGGTTTCATCTTCGAATTAATATAAATTTACAGAACGAACAAAATTTTACCTTGTTCAATAAATCGTGGTGTTCTTATAGAAATTTCGTCCACCGTAGCACGCTTTTGTTCACCTAAGGAGAACGCTTCCACGCGATGGTTTGGTATACATATGTGGAATTGAAATTGTTGCGCATACATTATCTTTATCAACAGATTATGTTTGTCGCTAAGCACCGCGAACATCAGGTAAAAATTACGCAACGCTCTCAATGTCGTTCACGTGTCGTTAATTCGTTGCAGAAACTATCGTTGGCGTTTCATTCTGCTACCAATTAAAAGAACTTTGTTATCCGACTGATTTTTCGAAACGATCCCGTTGGCACAATGGTCGCAAGTGTACGCGCGGAGACCGATAAGCTACTTACGTGTATGGTTGTTCCTCGCCGCGCATTTCACATATGACGTTTGTCAGAGCCATTATGTAATTCTTGGCCAACGTGAGCGTCTCTATTTTGCTGAGTTTCCTTTCCATTTTTACGTGTGGTATCACCTCGCGCAGTTGCTGAAACGATAACGTTGTTGCTAATAATTACCAGTACTTCAATCGTTTCTAAACGTTCGTCCGTCTCTCTAAAACTATGCTCGCCACGCAGGCTTTGCACTGCAAATTTTCCCTCGTACAAATTCCATTTACCTTTTCACAAAAATCGAGTTATACTAGGTATTTGTTTTCTCGAGCCATTGCAATAAAGATAAAATTCCGATGTAAAGTTATCTCGAAATACAATTTTTTGTACCAATTATGTGCTTATTTTGGGCAATCCTACGAGCGATTATATTAAGAGTATATAATATTTCAGTTTTCAGTCATCCACAGGCTGAATTTGATTTCCAAGAGGGTTAATTTACAGCGCAAAACTTGCACTCCTACGTCTTTGTTCTGTTATCTCCGTGTTTCTATTTCGCCTTGACTTTGCCGGAGAATCGATAACACGTAGCAACGAGCTTCCGTGCGAACTTCATAACTTCAATTTTCCTCTGTTCCATTTCCCTTCCCCCCTCCTCTACCCCGTTCACCTTCACCCTTAAACAAGATCTCGAGAGCTCGTCGAATCGCCCACGCTCCACGCAGATATCCGGCTCTGACAACGTCTACTATAGACGTTACGCTTCTATTGTTATTCCGAACAGGCTACCGCGCGAAATCAGACGAACCAACTGTCTTTTACACTTGGGCGGATCTATATGTAAATTTGAACTTTAAACAAGCGAAAATACGACACGTTGCGCTCGTACGTGTACCTCGCACGAAAATAAATTTAATGAGCTCGACACGGTATTTTTGGGAATTCATTTCTAAGGAACGGACACTTTACGTTAAGTCGCTATTTATGAATTATTCGACCATATACAAACAGTCGAAGAATAGCAACAATTCGTTCGTTAAGTATTAAAGAATCTGTAAAAATCGTTGGAAATTTTTTGGTATTCTTTCACATTTTAATGTTTATTGCAATCATCATCGAAAGATGCATACAAGACTCGCTGTTTTTATGATAAATTCTAAATTTACCACGTAGCAACCCTATATATTGTTAATACAATTAAACGTAGAATCTTGGAACGAACGACGACTTGGAATCGGAACGTACGATTCGAGAAAGAAAATTTACCCATCGATTTGTATGTTAATAATGTTACGATGTTACTTCTAAATATATGATTTAAGAAATGAAACTTGCCATTCTGAAATTCGCTCAACATGCAGGCACTTTAAATAGACGGTGGAAAGCTTGTCGCAAGTTTCTGCAATTTTTGTAGCACATCGGAAACGGTGTCGTGAATTTTTCGCAATTTTCTAGAGTCGACGGAAAATTACCTCGAAAGCATCGTTCAGGGAATGCATTCTCATTCTTTCTCTCTCGTTGCTCTCAAGCCTCCTCAGGTTCCTTTCTCGCGCGGAAATTCCACTTTTTCGTCTCCTCGTCGTCGGTGGTCCTCCCCGATTCCTTCTTTTCGCTTGTTTCGGGCTTCTCTCGCTGCCACTACTGTCGCTCTCCTCACCCACCTTTTAAATCAATTTCAGAAACACTGGATTAAATTTTCATCCCGGCGCGAACAAATTTACTTTATCGATCGTCAGAGCAACGTTTCAAAATCGAAAATAATAGACTATCGATCGTAGCGAATTCATTTTTACCACAAAACTTTTTAATATTCCTTATCGTCGTATTCTATGAACGCGAACGAAAGGGTATACTCGATTAGGAGGATCTAGAGTGATTCTAAATCAAGTTTAATTCACGGTAGTTTAGAGAAAGAAGGCAATTTATGCCAAGTTTGGATTTTGTATCTTGACTTGGGAAGGATTATGGCGCAGAAATTGGTAATCACATTTTTGGGCAATTTTATTCTGACCTATTACATGGAAAGATTTTTAATTTTGCGATTTGGAAAGTAGCAAACAGAACAGGATTAATTGTTTGAAGACTCTCAGTTTTCTGGCTTAGATCGTAATCAGAGCTAAAGTCCAACACAAACACCAACAATACTTATGATTATTAAAAGCATATTTCAACGTCATAAATCGATCATGCGGAACGGGTTAATTAAGCTTGATTTTACACTTACATTGAAATTAATTATAGATAAGATTAAGTTCGCCACGATATCTAATCCCTTTTTTAGTGATACTCTATTTTATCGCTTAACCGGATAATACAATTTTCGATTGGACTTCATTTTCTGGGAAATTGAACCTTCTTCTGTTAATCGCTACGATCGATCGATCCTATTTCGATCTTTATTTATATCTATTCGATTCCTTGTTCGTGCTTCTTCTTTTTCAGTTTATTTATCCATAATCGACTTTTTTTCATAATTAATCCCTTGTATTTAATTATTCGAATTATAGCTCGTAAACGTTTTCTGCGACGCAATATTTCGATTTATTTATTTTTATTTAACGTTGCACGTTATTTCCGCGATCGAAACGAGTTATACTAATTCTAATGGTAGTGTTACGTCCATTGACAAGAGCAACGAGTTGCTGATAAGCTCGATCGATGTAACAAGAATCGTAATCTAGACCTCGGGCTATCAACATATGTTGAACATATTATATATATTTGTAAACAGTACACAGTATTGAAAACTAACACTTATAACATCGTTGAGTGGAACCTTGAATTGCAGCGATATCAATGTTCAATGCAATCATTAAAATGATATTCGAATAAGGTGACAGATTTAGAATGGAATAAACGTTAACTTCTGTTTCGTTTGTGAGAGAAGTATAAAAGGTTTTATTTATTTATCTTATAAAAGATTCTTTTTACAAAATGTAGATATTATATTCATTGATATAAATTTTACACGAGAGAAACATAAAGGATTCTTTAACTTGTAAACTGTTTCTCTCGGAATCGTGATATATTTGATAAATAATTGTACACTGAGTTTGCGAAGCCACCCACTAATAACTAAAGAATAATACAAAAGTTCAGTTAAAAACCTTGTACTGGAACGTGAAGTAATAGAATTTAAATTAACGCTTTCATTTCATTTCATTTGAAAATTCAAAAGAAGTTGAATAAAAAAATACAACGATTGCATATTTTAAATAAACGTTGATTGCAGTAATAAATCTTTTGCGAAAGTTCTATAAATAGAAGAAAGGTATACACGATAGATTAATTTAGGTAATGTTAAAATCATCTTTGATATCAAGTTTGCTATCGTCAGAGGGAACTTTATTACTCTTCGAACAGAAGATAAACTCACCTCTGCGCCAACCACATGGTGTCGACTTCGTTTTCCGGTAAGCGAGTCGACGGAAGCGTCGTCCAGGTCGATATACATCTCCTGATCGCAGTCTTGATCGCTACCTGATAACCTCTCCAGGCTTCGCATTATCCTGAGGAAAGTTATGGTGTTGGACCCCCTGTAACCGAACCCGATGCACTGTTAATTTTCCTCAAACGTCCAAGAATAATTTTGCAACGACGAATCAGTCTGAAACTACTCTCGTTAGCGATTCGTTTCGCACGGATAAATCTAATACGATTGCTTGCAATTCTATAACAGAATTCCTCGTTAAATTCAACAAACAGGAAAGTTTACGGTTAAAAAATGATCATTGTATCAAAACTATGTTACTTAGAAGTTAAGATCGTTAAATCAACAGCATCAATTCGATATTTGTGACGAAGATATTTTTATTTTTTGTTTCGTAATAATTCCAAGAGCGATAACGTTCGCGGAAATGCCGTTCCAAAAAGTAAACTATTGCTACACGCGAAGCTGGTTGGGCAATTCCAATCGACAGAATGACAACGAGGAAAACTAGGGAATCCTCCGGCAATTTGTAAACATCGTTAGAGTAATCGACGGTTTTCGCACGAAAGACGTGCACGCGAATTCAGATAATCGAAACGGGATATCGCGTTTTGCCTCACTTTGTTTCATTCAATGCCACGAATTCCTCGCTCACAATTACGTCGCGTTTTACGATCGACCGATTAGGTAATTGCGAGTATATATTAACATCGACGCATGAGCGGTTATAGGTCGAGCATTCGCGATTCACCTAAATTTACTTGCTCTTTTGGAAGGAATAAAATTGTTTTGTGCTCGGTTTTTACGAAAATTAATTGTATATCGTATCATTCCTTTATTGTTTTTGTTTAAGCTCGTGAATATTGACGATACTGCGGATGATTAACAAATTACCATCTTTCTAAGGATATTTATAAAAGTCTATTAGACCAGTTACAAATTTTTTAAATAAAAAATATTTCTGTCGAAATATTTGACTTTAAAATTAACTCTGAAATATTACAAGCGGTTCAAAGAACATTGTTACAGTATGTTCAATATCTTTCGAGAGGAATAAAATGGTTTCATACTCGGGTTTTACGAAAATTAATTGTATATCCTTTATTGTTTCTGTTTAAGCTCGTGAATATTGACGACATTGTGGATTTGTAGAAGTTTGATTAACAAATTACCGTCTTTCTAAGGATATTTAGAGAAGTTTATTAGACTAGTTACAAATTTTTTAAATCAAAAATATTTCTGTCGAAATATTTGACTTTAAAATTAACTCTGAAATATTACAAGCGGTTCAAAGAACATTGTTATAGTATGTTCAATAAGTATTAACTAATCTTTGCTATTTTATTCAAAGCCCGAACTATAAACATCGTCTTTATCGCGGCAGTGTTTATCTTTGGAATAAATTAAATGTTACAAAATCGTTAAGGAAGTATTACTCTTGTTTTATTCTCGCATAATCAAGGATACAAGGTCAGGGTAGTTGTGTGTTACCTTATTTAAAATTAACTCTATATTTCTGCTCATATTCTATTTGCAAACATTTACGAGCTGTTTTCAGGTCAATTTGTGTCTGTCTTTTTCTTTTTCCCTTACTCTTCGTTCCTGTGTGTATCAGTTAAAATGGCTGTTGCTGAGTTGGAGAAATTGACGAGCATTCTTCGGGTTCTAATATCACTTGCTTCTTCAAGAGAAAAAGTAATGAGGAAAATATGGAGAGAAAGCCTGTCGGTCTCCGCCGACCAATGCTTTCTTCTGGTTTATCCAGTTCGATTTTCCCATTAGGGAAACCGACTCGTAATAATTCAACGTTTCTCTCGTCTTTGTTGAGCAATTAACAGTCCGTCAGGTGAGCCAATTTTGACCCGTATCTATCCCGTCGGACGATTTATAAAAAATAGAATTTCCTAACATTCATTCTCTTACGTGTAACAAGCTTCTAGCATCTAAAAATTTTAATGAGAGATCTAGAGGCCATAATAACACGAAAATTAAGAATACCAATTTGTTGATTGAAACTTCGTTAAAAAGTTATTAACAACATTATTAATAAAAATTCGGGGGTATGTTTATTGACCAAAAATGATTATAATTGATCCTTGCAACCAAAAATAATTATTTCAGAACGATTTGAAAGTTTTTTTCGCAGAAAAATTTTAGCACTTACCCCCCTGTTGATTTTTCTTTAAAATTCGTTTTTCATTTTTAATAAATTTGCTTGACGCTGTACGAAAATGTTGTCTAATACTTTTTTATAGGTATCTATGAGCTCTACTTCCAGACTAAATTTCAATGAGATACACCCACTATTGTAGGAGTTATTGTCGTTTGAATATTGGACCATTTTGATGGGGTTTTTGCACTTTACGGGTTTATGGAACAACTTTTCGAATAATCTTGGAATTTCTACATATTCTTGATTTAAATACACGTTGTTTGCCGCTTCAAACATTAAAATTCTTCAATCCGTTCAGAAGTTATAATGTTTTAAACATTTGCATGAAATTTCGAGGAACCATTTTTGGCCTGAAATTATATTTTCGGTAAGGAATTTTTTTCTTGGCAATGGTTAGGATTTCGAAGATATATGTATTAATAAAAAATGATTGTAATTCACTCCTGCAATCAAAAATAATTTTTTTAGAACGATTTGAAATTTCGGGTAAAGATTTCTGGCCACATATTATATTTTCGGTAATGAATATTTTTCTTGAAACTGCGTAGAATTTTGAGGGTATGTCTATTCACCAAAAATGATTGTAATTGACCCCCGCAGCCAAAAATATTTTTTCCAGAACGATTTGAAATTTTTTTCTTTTAAGCTAACGGAAAATTAAAATTGATGAGAATATTAGTTACTCGTTGTAATTGCCGATCCTGTATTTCAATTAACAGGCCAATTCTTGCATATAAATTTTTCAAAGTAAACGTTTCTGTCGTGGGACGAATCATTACAATGGTGCGAAATTAATTGTATATTTTAGAGCGTTATCGGTTACCGTAATTGTTTGTAATACGGTGGCTCGTTTGCAATGGTAGGATACAATACAAATTAGCACAAGCCGTTTATTATTTCCATATAATCTGGTGTAAGACGTAATTGCTGAGTCTTCATACATTGGCAAACGGATTCCCGCGAGATGGAATATGTACTTTTCTTCGGTTGAAATATTCTCGGCAAGAAAAACAGTTTTCCATCGATCGTTTTGCAATTTTATTCCAATAATATTTCGCTACTACATTCGCGTAACATAGAAATTTGAATTTTACTTCACGAATAAAGTGAAATTAATTTCAAGCTTTCTTTTTCTTTCTGATCTGGTCAATATAAAATAACAAACTTTAATATCGCTTGAGAATTGGAAATTTCGCTGACTAGGAACGCAAAGGATTAAAATATCCTCTCGATTTAAAAATCCAGAGGCGTCTGCGGTATTCCCCGATATTGTATCATTAATCTTCGTCGTGTCTGTTAATACATCCTCGTCGAACGTTGTCAGGACAATGGGTACGAAGCAAAACAAATTCTGCCAATTCGTTGGATACATCAGCGAAAGCGTTGCAATGGAAAAAATCCATGACGATTAATTTTTGCGCCGTCATCGACCTCGGACCAAGCGATTCCGTCAACGACGTTCGCAGAAACGTCGTTAGACGCGGTCTTCGAGCATAATGGCGCCTAATGCGAATATATTCCACGAGTTTATTAATGACGAAGGTGTGTAGTCGGGTGTCACGTGTGACTGTTGTATGTTACGTTACGGAGTTATCTAAGTCGCGCAGCACGTCAAGTCCTTCGAGTCGGACGTGTGTCTATTCATTAGCGATATAATGCGGTAGATTATGTTATTATCCACACACGTGTAATCAGCCAGCCCGTGTACGTGTGGCCATTGTCAGCGCGAAGGAAGGAAAAAGAATGGCAGTCGACCGACAGGAAATTTGACATCGCTGCATATGACAGCCAGTCGAATCAGGAAACTTAGATAAAACGAACATTCTACGAGAGAATTTCGAAAATTATAACGAAATTTGGTAGACGATGATCCGAATGCATACTGCAACGTTTGTCAAAAGAATTAGGATTACATAATGTCCCACAAAATTCCAAAATTTGTGAAACTAGAAGGAAAGAATTGAGAAACAGTTTTGATATCCAAAGAATCATTGAAATGGAATATTATTGAAGCGCGACAGCCTAAATATTACAATCAAAGTTTGTCCATTCGTATTAAGATTGTTATACCAGTAAAAGGTGGGCCAATTTCATACAGAAACATTGAATTTTGCAATTAATGGTGTCTTCGATCAATATTAAGTGTATCGTTTAAATACTTTTGTAATACCTTTGTTCAAATAACTCTAAAAACGTGCAACAAGTAAAAAATAAATCAGATATATATTTTCACTTTGAAACTTTTGTATTTAACATTTTTGCCAGAAATGTTTTGCTTATATATTGTTCAGTTATTTTTTAATTTTAAAGTTACAAATGCAAGCATTCGAATACCTTCGTGTACAAGCGAGACCTTTACATTGCTTTGTTTTAAGAGAGACTAGATACATGCTACTACAGCAAACGTAACGTTGTTTTATGTAGCATAACGTGCTTCGAAATTTATCGTGCATCGATGATTTTATTGTCTTTTATGCATATAAAGTTGCGCGATTCGCAAGTGGTAGAACGTTGCGTAATCCAACGTAGAATAGTAACCAGAGCTGGGCAAAATACTGTTTTAGTTAGTAAATAATAAATAAATATTTTATTTTAAACCGTACATGTGTTTTCGAAAGTAAAATATTTGATTTCTTGGAAACATTCTTCACGACAGCATTTTATTTAAAGGTCACTGAAAATATTTGTGTCACACGAGACTCGACTCGATGACTTACGAAGTTTATTTCCAAAATGAATTTTCACTGATAGGTAATTTTTCCTTTTGGGTGAAATTGTACAATAAATCTTTCTATAAAAAGAACAATGACTGAACGCAATCAAACGATGCGTGTAATTGGGATTTCTACTTGCAATAAATTTTAATTACTCTGTTTAAACGCATAAACTGCGATAACACCGCACCTTTTTGTTTGTTTGGTTTTTTTTGCATG